ATAAGTTACCTTGTGTCCATTAGTATTAAACAACAAAAAGATATGATATGAACAAGATTCCTAACCAACCAGGTAGAATTTTTATGTTATAGTCTTGGGGCACAATTCTTTTCTGGAGATCCTCAGTTTTTTCTCTGAAGGTCTTCATATGATTGAATGACGCCTACCTACATGATAAAGAGTAAGTCCCTTTACTTTAGGTCACCTTGTTTTAGATGTTAAGCACATCTGCAAAATACCTTTCCAGCAACATAGGCTTATGTTTAAAACTAAACAGCTGAGCACCATAACTGAGCCATGTTGACACAAAATTTAGCCATCACATACATTACTAATTTGCAGATAGAAGAATGTAAATAGAGGGAGTAGTTTCTAATAATCCTCATGATGAGTCAGCACACAGATTAGTTTGACCAGAGCTAATAAACAAAGCATATTTGGCTGAATATAATAGTACCTTAAATAGGGGTTTGCAAGTTATGGCCTGCTGCCTATATATTTATATATGAAGTGTTAGTGGAGCATAGCCATGCTTATTCATTACATGTTGTCTGTGGCTGCTTTCATTCTTCAGTGGCAGAGTTAAGAAGTTACAACAGATCATATGGCCTACAAAGTCTAAAAYATTTAGTACCTACCATTTTACAGAGAAAGTTTTCCAACCTATAGAGAAGATGCTGTGGTTCTTGTTCTGTTATGCMCCTCTCCTAGTTTAGTGTATCCCTTCACTTTAGACTTCAATGCATTTTCTGAAGCCACAACTTTTATTAGATGAATAAAAATCAATCATTTCTAAATTTTTATTGCACATTCAGATTTTTTTTTTTTTTAGATTACGTGCTGAGTTCAGTTTTCATGGATAAAACAAATGAGTTCTGCTAGGCTTTATTTTATGTTGGAGAAAAAGAAAAGTTTTATTGCTTTCACAGGGGAGGCTGTAATTTTGCTCATCAAGGGGAACAGATAGTTTTTAAAGAGGTGATTCAAAGGCTACATTACTGGTGGGGATCATAATTCACTTGTTAATTTGGCAAATAGTCATTTTTAGATCTTCTGGTGACATCCCTACATGGAAATTCCTGTGGAGGATATATGCTCAAGGACAGATCACTTTACCTAGGATGGGAAAGAAAGGTAATCCAGATGGCCAACRTGCTGTATTTGGTTTCCTTTTTCTCAATGTAGACCAAAAGATGGAGCAACCCATACAGTTGAGAGAGCGGCCTGAGTTCCCTGGAACAAAAGGAGCTTCTGGAGCTGCTTGGACAGTCCCTTAGTCCTTTTCTTTACTCACAGGAATAGCTCCTCTGGTTGGACCCAAGGCAAACTCACCCCATCTTCTAATTCTCTATCAGTGTGCTCTCAAAAAAGCTTACCAGCCACCTTACCTCCTTAGTGTGGAAGAGGGGTTGCTCACAGTGCCAGACCCACCCCCAAAGAACTGGAGCATGGGCTGCTCTTGGGTTCCTTTGTGGTTGCCAATTTATTGAAAGCTTGGATCTTGTCCTCATTACCAATCTGTTTTAGTCAACTTTTTTTGCTTCTGTGATTAAATTATTACCAGAATAATTGCAGAGGAGGAAAGGTTTAGGCTTCAGAGGTCTTAGTCCATAGAAGGCTTGCTCCATTCCTCAGGGYTTGAGGTGAGGCAGAACATCATGGAGGAAGAGTGTGGCAGAGGGAAGCAGCTCAAATGGTGATCAGAAAGCAGAGGGAGAAGTCTCCACTTGCCAGATACAAATACATACCCAAAGCCAAGMCTCAATTCCTACCTCCTCCAGCCATACCACACCACTTCAGTTACCACTCAGTTAATCCCTATCAGGGGATTAAATCACTGATTGGGTTAAGACTCTCACAACCCAATCATTTCTCCTATGAACCTTGCATTCTCTCCCCCATGAGCTTTTGGGGGGCACACCTCATAGCTAAACCATAGCACAATCCAAATGAGGACATCATTTTGAGAAGAAAGGAAAAAAGAAGTTTTAATGTTTGGTTAGCAAAGGAGAAACATAGRGGATTCCTGTCCCAGAGGCTGTGATTCTCCTGTTAGTTTCCAAATGAATACTTGTGTATCTATGGGAAAGAAGGGGAAGTATTTTTTCTATAAATTTGCCATTACAAATTTCAATATGGATATCTATTTTCCTTCTTTTAAGAGGGTAAAAAGATGTATTTCTGTACCCACCTCATCCCCTGTTTTCAGATAATGTTTAACCAAATTGTTATTATTTCCTAATTTGCTTGCTCTTAATATCTACAAAGTTGAATTAGACTACAAGGTGTATGTGTTTCCATAGCAAAGAATAAAGTACAACTTTATTTAGTGGAGAGAGTCTAGACTCTGATTCAGACAATTCTAGGTTTAAATTTAGTGGCTTAAAACAACAGCTATTTTATTTCTTGCTGACTCTGTAGGTCACCAGTTTGGGCTAGGCCCTGCCATGTGGTGATTCCACTGGTCTGCTAGGGCCACTCATATGACTGCAGTCGCCTGGTGGCTGCACCAGGACTAGGTGGCTAGGATGGTCACACCACTCTTTCTGACACATGATTCTGGCTAGTGTGTCTGGGTAGCTGGGCTCTTTTTCTCTGGGGCACTTTTATCCTCAAGGGGGTTGCTGTGCTCACAGTGTGCTGGCAGCATTCCAAGAAGGCTAAAGTGGTAGCTTCAAGGTCTCTTGAGGCCTACATGCAGACGTTCACCAGGTTACTTCTACTGCATTCAAAATAAGTTACAAGTCCAGTGAAGATTCAAGGGACAAGGCAATAAATGCCATGTCTTAATAGGAGGAGTAACCAAGTCACATTGCAAAGGGGTGGGCTCCCAGGAGTGAAAGACATTAAGATTGCTGCACATTGGGCTGGGGATGTGGCTCAAGCGGTAGCGCGCTCGCCTGGCATGCATGCGGCCCGGGTTCGATCCTCAGCACCACATACCAACAAAGATGTTGTGTCCACCGAGAACTAAAAAATAAATATTAAAAAAAAAAAAAAAGATTGCTGCACAATCCACCACCATAAATTAGTTAACTTTAATTCACGCCATATTTGGAAAGTAGAAACGACAATATTGTAACAGTGGTCCACTTTATGCTTTGAGTGTAGCCCTTGTTGCTCTGCTGCTGCAGCTTATTTTTAAAAGGGACCTGTTTCTTTCTCTTCCTCTCTCTCTCCCCCTCCCCCTCCTAATCTCTTTGCCTCCCTAATCTTGGGGGAAACTGTATTTACCTTTCTTCCTCATCCTAGGCAGAGTTATCTGTCTGCAGCACACACCCACCAAAAGAACAAAGTAATTCAAACTTTGGGAATGGCACCAGAAGATGTGGAAATGACTATCTCCTAAATTAACAAGTGGGTTACCACTTACAACAGAGCACACAAGAATGTAGCCTTTGAATTGCCTCTTTAAAAATCCCCCTGTTCTTGATGGGCAGAGTCACAGCCTTTGGGACAGGAGTCCCCTGTGTTTTTTCTTTGCTAGCAAAGCAATAAAACTCTTTTTTCCTTTTCTCAAAACTGTGTTTTCATTACTGGATTGACAATTGGGGCTAAGGACTGAGTTTTCAATAGCAATATGACTTAAATTGCAGGATTCTTAAAGTTTAACAATTATATATGCACTCAGAAGTATTTCTTAAAAACTTTGAAGGAGCATCCTTATTTTAGAARCTGTTTTCACTATAAACCTAAATATGCAAATAAGTATTCTTTCTTATTATTAATTCGGCCATGTATTTTTTTATTTGTTYTTCTTAGATATATATGACAGTAGAGTATATTTTAACATTATACATACAYGGATTATAACTTATTCTAATTAGGATGGCCATGCATTTTTAATATGGAAAACATTAAGATTCACTCAAAGGAACTCCTTTGTAAAATAACTGTGTAGGAAGATCTTTGTGTTATGTAAAAAACATTCATTTAATATAAAAGAGCAAAAACAATTATGTTCAAATGTGTTTACCAAAAATATACTTCCCCATAAGTTTTATTTTTATGTACATATTTTCCATTTTAGATTTTTAAAAATATTGGCTGGTATTGTAAGGTTTGTTTTTACTTTAATTCTTGAAGAGACTTTTGGATTCTAGCAAACCCCCAAACTTCATATTTTTATTTAATTAATATTTCTTTACAAATCCTAGRRAAAAAAAAGCCAAAGAAATAAAAATATCTTGTTGTTTTTTTACTGTGGAAAACCTTCATCAGAGGCTCTATTTTAACAAATGTATCTGTTTTGCTTTTCACTTTGTGCTTTCTAAAACAGTCCTGTTTTGAGATATATATTAGAACATTGACAAAAATATTTGTTAAAACTCATCAAAGGTATCACTCTGTTCATTGGTGTATGTAAGTGTGGGAGGTGATWATAGACCTTCCTTGGTTTTTACTTTAATGTTTAAAAATTTTTACTCATGACATTCAGGCATTTTAAGAACTCTAGTTTGAATATATTTTTCTRAAAATATTAAGGAACAAAGTTTATTTTTTCCAAATTCCCAATTCTTTAACTTTTAAAAAGTGATTTTGAATAAAATTTTACTTAACCAACCTCAGAACTGTATTCTTATATAACATACATTATAATTTATTCTACTTAAGATCTATGCATATATTTACACATTATATTTGGAATTTAATTTGTCTTCTTTTGAAGAAGGGTGAAMTAGGTGATATTAGAAACAAGTGATATTTATTGAACTTGCAATTTCTGGGTCTATATTTTTAGTAACCTCTTTTGAGGGCCTAGACAGCTCTAATAAGGGAACAAATACCTGCATTAGGGCGGGGTAGACAGTCTGGTATTTAAACAACAGACTAGAATAGAATCAAACTGGGTGGTTAGGAAATCTTGGCAAGGCAGTGCATTCCTAGTTTTTCTGATTCTAGTTCTTTAAAAAAAAAAAAAAAAAAGATTTTTTTTTTTTTCCAGATCAAATAGCCACCTGAGATCCTGAAGGGATTGGATTTATTATTTAAATACTCACCCTTATCATCATCATCATCTTAGTTCTTGTCATTTTTATGCAGAGAAATCCAGTGGAGCAGGATTAAGCCTGTTATTGCTGTGCTCAGAAAAGTAATTGATAGAATATCTTTTTCTTTGTTCCTTACTGCATACTTTTGCCCCTAGAAGGGTGAGAGAGGTGGATAGGGCATAATTAAATAAAGATAAGGGAAAATCATAAAGAGAAGAGAGCTAGGGGTCTGGGAGAAGGAAGCTAGTAGTACAGTTTTTGTTTTCCTGGTTTATTTTAGCCTTCTTCTTTTTCTTTCCTATTATGTAAGCTCTAATTTGCTGTTGTTACACAACAGGAAGGAATAAATAATCTTTGGACTAAATGGAATGGGAGAAATATTTCTAACCATCACCAGTCCAGTGAACTGTAGAACAGTTCTTAATTGTGCAGCCTAATCTTTAAGGAATGTTAATGCTTCATGAGCTTTGCTCTCTGCTAAGTTTTAAATTGTGGTGGTGATTGTCTTAAGTTTAATAATTGGGAATGTTGATAACTACAGATAYTAAGAATCCTGTTGTATTTTGTTTCAATTAGCTACTAAGGGGAATTTACCTAAATGATACATTTGTATTATTTAGTTTTTATTTAGGGCATATGTATCTTTTCCATTGGAGAAGATTTTAATAGTTGCCTCTACCTTCTTTTTTTAAAAGACACTTATCTTGAGGTTATGATTGAGATTGTTTTTAAGGTACTATTTTTTATGGTTATTTTTTAGTATAGTTTCAAAGTTTATTTGGTTTCTAGGTAWGGAGAGATAGATTATGGTATCTGGTATGTTAAAGTAGTTRATTAGTCTTGTCAATATTTCAAGGGAAGTTAAGATTCAGCCAGTTATTGCTTAATATAAATTCTTGGAAGTGAAAAAAATAGGATTTTTTTTAAGACTTTATTATAAAGTGGCCCAAAGAACTTAATGAAAAGGCAGTTATTTTAATCCTTGAAGTCTCTTTTGAAAAATGTTTATGATAAAACTGAGAAATCCCACATTTTACATCTGTTGGGGCCTGCCTTCTCTTCTACCCTTATCTCATCCTGGATCCCCCTTACTGATTATGCGTCTGCTACACTGGCCTTCTTTCAGATAAATTGTACTTTTACTGTTGTTCTCTCTCCTTGGAATGTAAATCCTCATGGGCTGGTTGTTCTTTGTCATTGTGAACTCAACATCATGATCACCTTCTCAGAACAGCCTTTCATGATTAGCCAGCCTCACATTCTACTCCAGCATTGCCTTCATATCTTCCCTATGTTTACCTGATAACTTGTTTTCCTTAGTTGTTCACTTTCTGTCTTTCCTTATTAGGTCATCAGGTTCCATTAAGGAGAAGAGACTTTGGCTATCTTACTGTTGTATCCCTGGTGCTGTGCCAGACATGTAGAAGGTGCTTCATAAAAGTTTGCATATGTAAATGTAGACATTTTCATGTTTTTGCTGTAAAGGACATCTGAGTTTCTTAGGTTTAAATTTTTAAAGAAATATTTGCATTTTTACATTGATTTTTTTCCAGATAATTAGAGACATGAGAATAGTTTAATTAATAGAAAGAATACCAGGTAGGTGTCAAAACAACAGGATTCTACAGTCATTCTACAGCTTCCTACAGTTATGGCAGACAAAATCCTCTAACCTTGGGGGAGGGGAGAGGGACTGAAGGATGAGTTGACCATCAGTGGCCAATGATGTAATCAAGCATACCTGCATATTGAAGTCTTTATAACAACCCCRAAAGGATAAGGTTCAGAGATTTCTTGCTTGCTGAATACAGGAGGAACTTGGAGGGTGACACTCCAGGAGATGGTAAGAAAACTGTGCTGCTTCCCATATACTTTGCTCTATAGATCTCTCTCATCTGACTGTTTATTGTATCCTAGGTAATTATCTTTTCTAATAAATGAGTAAATATAAGCAAATTGCTTCCTTTAATCCTGTGGGCTGCTCTGGCAAATTAATCAAACCAGAAGAGGGGATCATGGCATAACATAAAATTCACCAATTAGTCAGAGCATAGGCCACAACATGGGGCAAGTGGTGATTTGTCTTAATCTGTTTTCTGTTACTATAATCAAATGCCTGGGACTTGATCGTTTATAAAGGAAAGAAATTAATTTTGGCTTAGAATTCTAGGGACTGTGAAGTCTTAAGAGCATGCATGGTACAGATGTTTGCTCTACTTGTAGTGAGGTCATCATAACTTGGCAAAAAAAGGAAAGAGCAAGTGAGTTTGTTGGAGACAAAGTACAAGAGGTGGCTTCACTTTATAACAGTTGGCTCTTAAGTAACTAATCCAGTCCTGTGAATAGCAATCTGATCACCTCTTAAAGGCCCCACCACCTCTCACCACTGTTGAGGACCAAATTTCAGTGCAAGTTTTGGAGGGGACAAACCTATTCCAACAGCAGCATCTTAGGTGAGGAGGGCAGCAATCTTGGGGATCTGAGGCAGTCTCCAGGTGAGTAGTGTCAGAATTGCATTAAATTGGAGGGTGTCCCCTGGAAAATTGCTTGTCCCACATATCTGGTCATAGAAGTAATTTGTGATGAGTGTGAGAATAGAAAACACAGTTGGTTTTTCACGTGTGTGTGCTTATATGCAATTTAAAAAGAGGATCCATTGTTTTCATCAGATTCTTAAAGGAGTCCATGACACTCAGTTTAAAGCAGATTTCTGTGACAATATTATTGTCATCCTCTTTGCATAATGTATCAAAAATTGTTTTTAGGCTTAAACTGGTTACTAAATCACATTTAAACTGTGTCCTGTTGTATCTGTCTTTTAAATATAGGCTATTTTATGTTGATTGCATAGGATTTAGAGTCTGCTTTATTCTTTTTTACATCTATGCATTTCTTCTAAGAGACTTTCTGTTCTAAATATTGATTGGATTCTTATTCAATGTTAGATTTATCTTGATTAGACCATTCAATAGAAAAGAAACTAGGCAAAATGTTTAATAATGTCATTTCTGCAGTTTGGAATTATGGTCATTTCTTTTTTTTCTTCTTTTTAGAAATTTTTAATTATTATTTTTTTAGTCTTCGGTGGACACAACATCTTTGTTTGTATGTGGTGCTGAGGTTCGAACCCGGGCCGCATGCATGCCAGGCGATCGCGCTACCGCTTGAGCCACATCCCCAGCCCCAATTATGGTCATTTCTATTTTCATTTGTTAACTTTATTGTAGTATATACATAYTTAATGTAATCATGCATTTCGTTTAAATTAAAAAAGTTTCATAGCATTTCTGAAAAAATTATGAATTTATAATCAATATGAATGAGAATCAGTGTCAGACTTTTTCAAGTTATTTCTTTTATGTTGATTTCAAGATTTAAGTTATGATACAGTTAGATCTATTTAGTGAAATAACTGATTCGTGTTAGTATGTTATATTCTCTAGAAACAACTGTAGTTTGGCTTTTGYCATAGAAAGTTTGGCTAGTGGCTGAGTTGAACGATTTGCAAACTAATGTAATAACTGACTGTGGCAGTGTTTTTTGCTCTCATACATGGTAAACATTAAATGTGCCTTAAAAATATTACTTCCTTTCASAAGGCTTTCATTTAAAATTTTAGAGTAAGAGAAGACAGTCAGTATGCGACTTGTACATGCCAAGATATGTTGAGAAGTTAATAGCTCCTTTTTAAAAGAAGATAGGTGCCTTTTGTTAAAGGATCACTGTACTGCTTTTCATGCCATGCTAATAATTCAGTGAAGGACCTTAGTGATAAGCATGTAATGCAGTTTAAAAATTTATACATTAGCCAGATTTTTTTGTGCCATRTATCAACAGTGCATAAAATGTAAGAGGTCAAGAGAATACTTGAGTATAATGAACCTATAGCTCAGCTTTAATAGTTAATATTAAGCTACAGTCAATGTTGTTTCATCTACACCCTCAATCCCTGATTTAAAAACGTATTATAAATTTTTATTAATCATGTTAAGGTATTGGGAGATATTGCATTTCTCATATTATGTTTTATTTTTAATTGTGCTAAAAAGCATAACATAAGAGGGCTGGGGATGTGGCTCAAGCAGTAGCGCGCTTGCCTGGCATGCACGGGGCGCTGGGTTCGATCCTCAGCACCAYATACAAATAAAATAAAGATGTTGTGTCCACCGAAAACTAAAAAATATTAAAAAATTCTCTCTCTCTCTCTCAAAAAACAATAAAACAAAACAAAAAAAAAGYATAACATAAAATTCACCATTTTAACCACTTTTGAACATACAGTTCAGAGTTTTAAGGATGTTCACATTGTTATGAAACTCATCTAAAGAATTTTTTCATCCTGCAAAACTAAAGCTCTATACCCATTAAATAATAACTTTTCATTCCTCCTCCCTCTAGCCCCTGACAAACCACCATGCCACTTTCTGTTTCTATGAATTTGACTGCTTCACATACCTCATATAAATGGTAACATATAGTATATTTTTTTTTTTTTCTGTGACTGGCTCATTTCACTTAGAGTGTTCTTAAGGTTCATCCATGTTGTAACATAAGACAGGATTTCCTTTATTTTTAAAGACTGTATAATATTCCATTGTATGCATATGCCACAGTTTGTTTATCCATTCATCCCCCAATAGACATTTGGATTGCCTCTGTCAATATCATTATGTTCATAATGCTTTGAACATGGGTGTATAAGTAATTCTTTGAGACTTGACTTTCAATTTTTTTGGCTATATGCCCCAAACCATATGACTGGATCATATGATTGCTCTATTTTATATGCCCAACATTGTTCAAGAAATGGTTCTCTACGTACTTTCCAATACCTTTGTCTTTTATTTATTTTTCCTTTCTTTATAATTTTTTTGATAGTCATTATCCAGGTGTACCAAGGCATAGCTCATTATGGTTTTGATTTGTATTTCTTTAAAGATTACTGACATCTAGAATCTTTTTAAATATGCTTGTTGGCCATTGGTGTGTTAGCTTTGGAGAAATGCACATTCAAATCCTTTGCTCATTAAAAAAGTTAGATATTTGTTTTCTTGTTAAGTCATAAGTTTTTTAAAAAAAAAATTATATGTGTTTAGTTGTAGATGGACACAATACCTTTATTTTATTTATCTTTATGTGGTGCTGAGGATT